AATTCTAGTTGTAAACTAGTATTTTTCCTGACTAGATTGGGATTTCACTGCAGGGTACATACAAGTGTGCAGAACATAAAAATAAAACTTTGTAGAAAGCCAAGAGCGTTTGTTTATTTGTTTTTCATTTATAAGCTGAAACACAATTTTTTATACGACATTAATTCACAACTGCTTTTCTTTACGCACATTCAATCGAATTTTTGCCCAATTTTCTGACCATATATATTTTATTTTTTTGCCTTATATTTCAACATAGATTGATTAAAAGAAAAAAACTGATAATAAAAATATTTCACACAAACAGGGTTGAAATTTTGAAATTCTTGCCCTATTTTGGTTGTAGGTTGTAAATAAGTATTGAATTACTAAAAGTTCCAAAATTGCCAAGTGGCCAAAAATTTGTTCAAAACATGTTTTTTTTTTAATAAAACGCCAAGTTTTTGTTTTTAAATCTAAAACAAAAAACATGTTTTTTCCAGCCCTGAGTGTACCAATCTTTTAACTACAAAAAAAAAGTTTCCCAATTTGTTTATTATGTTCCATTTGTTCAATATAAAAAGGAGCAAATCTGTACAAATGTANTTCCAAAATTGCCAAGTGGCCAAAAATTTGTTCAAAACATGTTTTTTTTTAATAAAACGCGAAATTTTTGTTTTTAAATCTAAAACAAAAAACATGTTTTTTCCAGCCCTGAGTGTACCAATCTTTTAACTACAAAAAAAAAGTTTCCCAATTTGTTTATTATGTTCCATTTGTTCAATATAAAAAGGAGCAAATCTGTACAAATGTACATATCGAGTGACACTGCCTTAAAAATTTATGCAATTAAAAAAAAAAAAAATATTCAACAAATTATCGTAAAAATTTCGTTTTTTTTTTTTAATTACATTCTGGGTATGCAGTTTTGTAGCCCATTGAATTCTAGTACAATAAAATAACAGTTTCCCCTAAAAAACATACATATTCTATACTCTTTTTACCTTTAAGTTTATTTTTATTTTTTGTTATTTTTGGACTAATAACAATTATATTTCATTAATTTTTATCTTATTCTCATTTGCAGCTGATACTCGCTTTCGACATCAAATTTAAAGAGCCACTGCAAACAGAATTTGAATTTTTGCTTGCGCCTAAAACGCCGCTAACCTTAATTATGCGAGATCGCGTCTATTGAGTGAGCGACCACACACACACATATACTGCCAACTACAAACACCGCGGTGTTTGATTTGAGTGAGTCACACTGGTTCTAAGCCGGCCCGCCACAGTGCAGCTTTGTGAATTAATTGTAAATTATTAAAAAAAGAAATATCTAAGAAAAATACTATTTTACCAATACACTTTAGCGAAGGTTGTAAATAATTGAAAAATATTACACACACCCACACACACACACACACATATACTTTATTAGTTACAATTGTGAGCATTGTTGCGTAACGAAAGACTGTTTTAATTTTAAAAATATATATTTATTAATTTTTCATTAAGAAAATGTTGCAATATTTATCCCAAAAAAATAAAAAATAAACTTGAAGAAATCTTAAAATGTGTATACATACTTATAAAAGTGAATAGTTTTTAATTGTAAAAATATCAAACTTAAATAGCAAACAAAGCCAGATGAACTCTAAATGTTTAGAAAAATATTTTATAAAATTGCAAAGAAAAAAATATATGTATTGAAAATTGTTAATATTAGAAATAAAAAGTATGCGATGAAATATTACATTTTTACAGATTTTTCTTAACACTTTGGGGGCCAAAGGAGGCTGGTGTGTAAAAGAGTTAAGGTGCTCGCAGGAATTTTTAATGACAGCTTCAAAAAAAAAAAAATATTAAAGAAATTTAAAAAAAACAAAATTTGTGAGTAAAATTAATATAATTTAAAAATTTTGATTCGTTCCATGTGTATGTGAAATCCCCATCTCGACAGCTAGGCTATTTAAAAAGTTATAGACGAACATATTTTGGTTTCCCCATAAGGCTAATATTACAATTCAAATTTTTAAAACGTTTTTTCTCGAATTCAGCTTTTCAGGAAGTTATTGCTTATGACCACAGATATAGTTTTATAAAAATTATATGTATAAATTATATACATTAAATAAATAATAACAAATAAATAATGTATATACATTAAATGTATTTATAAAAAATTATATATGTATGTGTACGGGTTTGAATACATCACGTAATTGCCTCATGCCACCGTGTGAATCTTAAATAAATTGCAACCGTGCATAGTTACCAGTGTTTCCAGCTAGCTATAGAAATTTGCGTTTAGCTATTAACTACTTTTGAAGCTTTTTTTAAATCGAGTTAGCTATTTCTGCTAAAAATTTTTTCTTATAATCACCCCATTTTTACACAGAGTTTTATCAATTTGATAGAAATCAATCAGTAAAAAAAATGGTATCTGGCATGCCTTATCCCTAATCAATATAACAGATTACACCGTGCGATAAAAACAAAAAAATTCTCCAAACACACGAAGCATTCAATATACTTACAAAGCTGTAGTAAAACTGCGTTTGTAGTTTTTCTCTCTCACGTCAGGATTTTTAAAGGACCTTGTAATTTCAAAGTTATGATTACTTCAAAAAATTATTTAAAAAAATTACTACAATGTAGAATAACAATATGGGTACGAAATGAAAGAGAAAATTAGGAGGATATAAAATTTATTTATTTTTTTT